GGTGCGGTCGAACAGTACGTCGCACTCAAGTACTACGCTGGCGCGATCCAGCTATGCTTGGTTGTGGCCCGCGAGAAAGATCGAGGGAACTCTGCGCTGTCTTGGGTGAACGAGGGCAAGCCACAGAACGACCCCCGCGAGAAGTCATTCAAGGCCCGCGAGGGTTGCTACCGTCTGATCCACGAGGTCCTGGACCGGCTCGAAGCCGTATCTGCCCTTGAGCCTGAAAAGGTGGATGGCAGACTTACTCTCACAGCAACAAAAAGACTGGAGGCATACAATGTTGTCAACAGCTCCGATGACGAAGTGTTTCACTTTAATCTCTACGACTGGTATATCCAGAAGAACTGGACGGACCGAATCCTGGCCATCGACTCCCCGCATGTTATCACCTACCTGGAGCGGCTGGCCGCGACCGATCCTGAGCATGCCGACCTTCTCTGCCGCTTCTATACCCACCGCAGCCGCTTCTTTGAGGCCGCCAAGGTCCAGGCGGATCTTGCAAAGTCGGAATTCAACATCAGCATCAAAGATCGGATCACTCTGTTAAGTCGAGCAAAGGGCAATGCGAGCGTCAATACTATTGGTATTGGCAGGCAGCAACAACAGGAGCTGAACCACGAAGTTACCGAGCTTCTCGAGGTTGCTCATATTCAAGACGACTTGCTGGAGCGCCTGAGGGCCGATCCTCGTATCCACGAGCAGAGGCTTAGTGAAGTCGAGCAAACCCTGGACGGTCCTATCCAGGGCCTCAGCGAGGTAAGTTACGGCCAAGGTGCTGCAAGTCGGCTTCTTTGCTAATGTTACACGCAGCTCTTCAACAGCTATGCTGACCAAGCCGGCTACTATGATCTTTGCCTGCTCATATTCAACGCCGCCAATTTCCAAAATCCCCGGATCATCAACGAAACATGGGAAAACCTCATCAACGATACTCATCACGACATCGACCAAAGACAGCAAATCTGGCAAGCGTTCCAGGAAGGACAGCTACTTCCCGACGGTATTCCCCCTCCGACGGGAGAGCCGCCAATGCCGTATGAGTCAGTCTCGTCGCAGATCCAGAACATTGCACACCGCACTTCCCTCGACAGCCTCATCTTCCCCGTCGACCATTTGGTGCCACTCGTGTGCGCATACGCCATCAACAATGGACAGGACGCGACCATCGGCGCCGACCCATCCTGGCCAGTGCTGTTGTTCCTGAACTTGGGTGTCCCCTATGCTCTGATTGTGCACATGCTCGAGGAGATATTCGACACCCAAGAGCAACCATTTTTGGGCAGAAAGAGGAAACTGGTCGTGCAGTGGATCAACACTGCTGTTGAGGCGTGGATTCGCGAGGTGGAGCGCCGCGGCACCGCGGGCAAGGGCGGCGATGGTGCCATTAGTGGATGGGTTAGCGACCTCTTGGTTCGCGCCGAGGAGTGCCTAGTGCAGCTGTCAGCCGGTGGGAGGGCGAATGCGGATGCTGAGGAAATTGTGGAGACAAGGCGGACGGTGAGGTCGTTGAAGAGAATGGTGGATCAGATTGCTGGGGCGGACAGGCAAGGCAGCTTGTTTGGAAGGTGAGGTGACCCGACTGGGAGACGAGTATGCACGAGAAGGGGAAGAATGTAGGGACGTGATGCTGTGGTGAGAGGATTTGGGTATTGTTCCCTAGCCTTTGGAAGAAAGATGCCATAGATGTAGAAAGCGATGAATTGGGCAGCAATCATGAGCGGGCTCGCCCCGTGCCAAGGGAGGGCGGGATACTGCCGTTGTACTGTACATATTCTTTTTTCCAGTCTGTTTTTGTTTGATGTTCTGTCTTGGAATGCGTAGTGACTGTTGGTGTTGACGGGGATCCACGTGGTCTAATAACGTTTATTCTGCTTTATCATTTAGCAACATCCATCTGCACAACACCGGTTCGTAATAGCAGCCCAAGTTGTCTGGTGGCACTAATCATGGTATAATGCATGAATTCGGTGGCGTTATCAACAGGTATTCAAACCGAGGTGACGCTTTTGACCTCGAGGCTAATGCTATGTGAATGATTCAGTGTCATAAGAACTTGGTGGATCTCGAGATCCAGCCATGCTGCCTCTCCCACTTCTTCAGGTTGAGAATAAATTGCCTCTCGATGCGGAAGCTCACGGAACTCCGATTTGCACTTGAGATGCTATCTATGCACACACCTGCCTTCAATCACACACAAATATTACTACTAAATTAGGCATACATAATTATTGTTATGATATCCTGCCATCACGGATGGCCATCCATAATATCGCTACCATAACACTACCTCAACTCCACAGCAAATTTTGAGTCACTCACGACAAGAAAAAATTATACATGACCAACCAACTAAGAACCAACGGTACCAGCGCCACCAACAACCCCCACGCCTCAATGGTGAAGCGCATCCGCAACCACCTTCTCACGCGCGTCTTAAGCTGCCTGCTCTGGGCGCACGTAGTCGTCCCGTAAATCAGACAACCAAGTCCCGGGCGCGACTCGCACTCGATATGCTCCCGCCGGCGCTGCATCAGAAGCCTTTCCCGCCCAATTAACCGTCAGCAATGTTCACCACTAAAATGGAACCAGAAAAAAGGTACGCACCTGACGCTGCCCCGGCAAAACCTCAGGTCGCTGCCTAAGTCGCAGCGCTGGTTGTTGGGGCACTCGAGGTGCAGGCGGCGGCGCTCGACGAGCCAGTCGATCTTGAGCTTGACGCCCGTGTCGACCAGGTTGTAGAAGTAGACGCTCGTGTGCTTGAGGGAGAGGGCGTCGGGGTAGATGAGGTGCTGGGAGATGAGCACGTGGATTTCGGGCGGGAGGGTGAGGAAGGTCGGCTTGCTGCGGTTGTCGGATGGTGCGGGTGTCGGCGGCCAGGTGGAGTCCGGGTCCGAGTCCTGGGCCGGGGCCGGGGCAAGCTCATACGGCGGGGTTGTTGGTGGTTTGGGGAACGCCCGGGGCGGGGCGGGGCGTCGGGTGAGAGACAACATGGCTTGGTGCGGTGGGTGAGTGGTGGGTGGTGTCGCACTGGCAAAAGGGAACGGCGCGTGCGGCCCGTCAGCAGCAGCGGATGGGCCCATGGTTATTTGTATTGAGATGCTCCCCGTTTCCTGTTTCCTCGGTGCCTGTCCGAAAAGGACACCTGGGCCAGCTGTTGCCCTCGAATTGGCAGGGCTCACCTTAGTGGCCTGTCTCGTGCCTGTTTGGTGGCGGCTAGGACTGGTGGCGTTCTTGGTGCCTGTAACCCGTCAAGCGGTTGTCAAAAAAAGACGAACTCATTACTTCATGGTACCTCCCTGCAGGCTAGATTTTCATACAAATCTAAGTAGCTCTATGTAGTGCCTGTTACCACCCTGTCATACGACCCTCGCCCTCTAACACATCTTGCATCCGCCTTACCATGGAATCCACCAACTCATTGATCTTCGCCTGAGGAATTCGCCCCCATCCAGCCTTCGCTAGCTCCATGATATCACCATCTTTTCCAATACCTAGATTGGCACGTATATACTGTTTTACAGACCTCCAGCAATTCTCAATTGGCGATAGATCTGGAGAGCCAGGGGTATTGAAGAAATGCTTCAACCCGTGGTTTTGCTTCCACTCTTTCACAATGTTCCCCCGCTTCGAATTTCCGCCTCCATGCCCTGAATCTCCATCTTCTTCCAGCACGAACTCATCGCGAAGAAGCCAAGGACGAACAACCTTTTCCAGGATTTCGTCGCGATAGATCTGCAAGCTCATCTTTCCATTCGTGTTCGTTGGAACCTCGTAGAAAGTCAATTCAGACTTAAAATTCCATCCAACAGCCGCCCAGACATGATATCTTCGGATTTCAGTTCCCGCTGCTGGGTCTGGCTCGTGGTGATGAATGCAATCTGGACAATAACGCTCGCCTGGTTTCCTGATAATCCGTACCTTTCCTTCAGAAAAGAGTCCAAAATGACATTCGTCTGACCAGCGGATATCATGCCAATCCTCTGGCCGAGGGCGATATTGAAGGGCGAGCTTGGCGGCTTGGCTACGGCGATTGGCGCTCGATGGAGAAACGAATCCTTTTTCGCAAGCGATGCATTTTCTGTATTTCAAGGTCCCCATCGCTCGCTCAATCGTCCTTGCGGAGGCGTGAATACCGGTCATTAGGCCTAGACCTTGCCAAGTTAAGCTGCGCGCCTGGAAGCCATACTGCCAGATGACTTCCTCCATACGGTACAAGTCCTCCGGCGAGATGATATGCTTCCGACCCGGTGTTTCGTGCTCTGGATGCCTCCGGTCTTTGTCAATACGCAGGATTTCCCAGCCCTGGGTTTTGCTGCGGATACCGAAGTCTTTGAAAAGATCCGTGTGGAAGTACTGTATGTGGTGGTGGTCGAGAAACGCAGCTGTTCCGATGAGGTGCGCCTTCACTGGCGTTGGGTAATGCGGTGCCATGATGGCAATGATGGTGGTGGTGGTGGTGGTGTGAGTCGAATGCCATCGAATGTTGTAAAATTGGTAGTGTCTGCTAGTGGCCAGCCACCCGCACAGACCACTGGCATCTTTGCAGTTCGTGTTATTTTGGCAACCGCTTGCCCGTGTCCCTGACAGCTGCAGAGTCTCGCGGACGTGCTGGGACTTGTCACTTGCGGGGGACGATTCGCTGTCCGGCAGCGTCTGCAGCTATGCCGCAATGCAGACGACGGAAATGGAAACATGGATACGAGGTTTCAAACCCAAACCCGCCGAGTCACAGCTGTCACGCAATCGAATCGGTATGTTTATTTCTATTGGATATGTGTTTATTGAAGGTCGTGTCTTCTTTTTTAGGGGAGCACAGCACAAGGGAGATAACGGCAGGGTTTGAGGGAGCTAGTTAGTCGAGGCAAGGCAGACACCATTCTTTCACTGCCCGGAGGCCAACCACGCACCTCCCCCGTTCAAGGCTTGCAGCGCCGACAGCGCCATGAACAAAATTTACGGGGCAAAATAATAACATTACCGAAAACGGTAAAAGATTATGACAACTGTGGGATTCGAACCCACGCCCTTTCGGACCGCCAATCAGAGTTCCGTCAGGAGTACCTGAAGACGGCGCCTTAGACCGCTCGGCCAAATTGCCTATACTGTTTGATGGATGTAAGAGAGGGAAAAGTTGGCCTTGACGCCAGTGTCCGCCCGTCCACAAGGGCCATCGATCAGTGGCTGTTTCGCCAAGCATTTTGCGTCTCACGTGAGTACGCGCAGGCAAGTGAATGGTGGAGGGGGGGGGGGCGAGGTCAATGGCTCAATCAAGGTCGCGCACCTCGAGGTACACGACGCACCTTCATGGTCGCAAGGCACCAGGCCTCGACCTACATTTTTCAACACACTTTGCTGCCTCCGCTGCTTTCCTGAGATGCATCGCTGAAAATTGTGCCCATGGCGAGCTTCGTGTCTGACAGTGACAGCGACTCATACGGTTACAATCTCACTGCTTCCGACGAGGAGAACCTCTTTGCTCTTATCGATAGCATTTCGTCACCAGCTCCAACTCCTGCGTCCGCGCCTACGCCCGCGCCAACTTCTGCATCCACTTCAATTCGTGCCCAAGCGCCCACAGCATCGCCTTATGCTGCCAATGGGGCAGGAAGCGCTACTTCGCTCGACAGCTATCTCAATGCTGCCATTGCCGTGAATGAAGCCCTCGAGAACATCACCGAGGATGACCTGAGCTTTGACTTGTCCGAGATTGAACCTGAGACTACATTTAGCCATGGATCGGGGTCTGAGACTGGCGTCGCGATCGCGAGGGATTATGCCCCCCCGACCAAGAGGAGGTATTCGCCATCTGTTCCCTCAGACAACGCCAGCGTCGCCTCTTTCATTTCCCAAACGAAATCAAGGTCGGCACCCCGATTGCTGGCATCCCAGGACATTCGCTATCCGGACCGTGAGCCACACTATTTCTACCTGCAACTGTTGGTGTATCTAACTGACATGAAGCGTTTAGTGAGTCGCGCGCTTTCCGAAGTCAAGAAAGCCGGCGAGTCCTCTGCGCAGCATGACCCAAATGGCAAAGCGCCCGCCAAGGACGATCAGTCGCCCCTCCTTCGCTTCCGCAGTTTTCCTATGAAGCCATTCTCCGTGTCAGACCTGACGGCCGGGGCCTGGTGTGAGCTGCAGTATCATTATACACTGACTCTGCTCCCGGACGGCAAGAGGACCCGGACGCCCGCGATGAAAGCAGGCACCAAAATCCACGAGAAGCTTGAGAGAGAGATCTTTACGCCCATCCAAATCGACACTGTCAAGCACGAGGACACATTCGGACTGAAGGTTTGGAACATCATCCAAGGACTGCGGACGTTGAGAGATACGGGCTTGACCCGCGAGTTCGAGGTCTGGGGGCTGGTTGACGGAAACGTGGTCAATGGTATCATCGATGGGCTGAGCTATGACAATCCGGACCCCGAACTCGAAGAGGACGTTATCAGCACTCGCGATAGCCAAGACAATTCTCAGAGCTCGCAGCAGCAGCTTTTGCTCGGAAATAAGGTCATATTCATCACAGATGTCAAGACAAGGGCGTCCAAATCCCCGCCGTCACAAGCACAAGTCCGCGGCACCATCATTCAGCTTTTTCTCTACCACCGCTTCTTATCGGACATGGCGTCGGGTCGTCTGATTTATTCCCAAGTATTTGAACGGTACGGGCTGAACATGGATGAGACATTCTCCGACGACTTTATGGCCCAGATGAGTGCTCTCCACGAAGAGATATTTTCCGATTCCGAATCCGCCGTGACAGACGCCACCGACTCAACTTCCGACTTCTACTCCGCCGTGTCCACCTCCTCACAACTGGATGCAAAACTCGACGTGTCGTCGATGCGATACCGCACCCTCCGACAGCTACTCTCTCTCCTAAGGTTTGAGATCCACCTGACCTTCCCGCGCGGCTCCACCAGCATCGGCCAGATAGTGTCCGTCGAGTACCGGTACCGTGCCCGGTCCAAAGACGACGATGTCGACGGCTCCGTCATTTGCACCAACACGTTCTACGTCGAGCCGGAGACGCTCGACGGCTACCTCGACGATTACATGCGCTGGTGGCGCGGCGAGCGCGAGCCTCGAGGGGTTCCCCTCGACGAGGCATCCAAGTGCCAGTACTGCGAGTTCGCCGCCATGTGCGAGTGGCGCAGCAACCTCGACCACGAGGCAGTCCGGAAGGCCAAGCTGGAGAACTCGGGCAAGGAAGGCTCTCCAGCGGGCGGTGTCCGTAAGAGGGTGGCTTCGATACAGTGGTAGATTTTGTCTTATACGGGCGTTCAGCATTACGCATATCGACGGGTTAATGAAGTTAACGGCATGGTCAGTGGCAGGTGCTACTAGGCGCACTCCGTGCCAGTCAAGACGAGTGAGCCCGGCAAGATATTGGCTATGACAGGAAATGGTTGTATACGAGTAGTTTGCTACGTAAACGCTGAGTGCCAACTTATCTCATCTTTCGAAATGTTGTTTGGCAAAACGCACTTCGTCCTTGACTTTCTCAACGCTTGAGCCACGCTGTCATTGACAGTCTAACGCACTTATTCCCCGGTGACTAACTGGCCATCGCAAGGAAGTATACCACAGGCTTGCCAAGCCGGCGATGATTCACATCATTAGTTGTATTGGCGAGAAAACGCTGGAGGCTTTGCCACCAAAAAAATGTCGACGGCTGCGACCGCAGGCAGGTTCATTGCAGCTTGGAATTTATCTTTTCCAACCTACTTGGGTTGGTCAATTGTGGCTATCACGAGAGAGCTTGGCTTCTGTAGGCCTTATCTTGTGTCCTGAATGCAAAACTTGTCTCGTTTTGCTCTTGGGTAGGGCTGAAATGCCCACTTTGTAGCCATACATCGTCTCGCAAAAATAAATGATGGGCCCTCTCTCCCTCACCTAGCAACGCAACTGCTCAGACATACATAGCCATCTTCAGAAGCAACTGGATTCACGTCTATACATGAAAGGCTGTTTGAGGTATCGAGCAAGTCAGGACCACCAAATCAGCGTCTTCGCTTCCTCATCAAACCATCAATTCATAGGACCGTGTTTGCCCCCCAAATCCCCGACCTGACTTTTGTGCCAACGACAACGACAAATCCCTTTCTTCTCTAGTAACTCCGCCCAAACATGCACCACTGCTCAGCGAACCGCTCGCATTGGGGGTTCAAGCACTTCGTCTCGCCTTTGACAAGCCCCTCGGGCTGGTCAAAGGGGATGCAGAGACTCTTCATTCCCATCGAGGGAGCCTTCTGGCCTTCGGGGGTATCCGCAGTCTCGTCTGAGCGCCCTGTCGTCAGCTCCTTGATCTTGTCCTCACACCCGGGGACAAGGCAGAAGGGGATGATGACGACGTTCTTGGCATCCAGAGCCGGGACGACCTCGTCCCAGCTGGTAATCTGGATGCGGTGTGCCTTGTAAGCAGCATCCGCCTTGTTATACATATCCTTTTGGATGGTCTCGAGGAGCTCGGGGACCTTTGACGTTAGCTCCGAGATAGGGATGGTGCCCTTCTCGCCTGTATCTCTTCGGGCATAGCTGACAACCTCTTTGGCGGCATCCTTGGGACCAAACTCGAGACGAAGGGGGACACCCTTGAGCTCCCAGTCGTTGAACTTCCAAGCGGGAGTGTAGCCCTCGCGAGTATCTACGTCGGTACGGATACCGCCGTTTTTCAGCACCGCAAACAAGTCATCGACTTGCTTCAGGTGGTTCTCCTTCTCCTCGGCTGTCATCTTGGCTGTAAGTCCGACAGGGATGAGAATAGCCTGGATCTTGGCAATGCGGGGAGGAAGGACGAGGCCCTTGTCGTCACCGTGGATCATGACCATGACGCCGATAACACGGGTGGAGAGACCCCACGAGTTTTGCCAGACGTGGATGTGCTTGCCACGGTCGTTGGGATCCTCCACAGTGATGTCGAACATCTTGGAGAAGTTCTGGCCGAGGCAGTGACTTGTTGCGCCCTGGATACCACGTCCGTTGGAAGGAATGTACCCTTCGACGGTGGTGGTGTAGTAGCCGCCAGCGAACTTTTCGGCCTCGGTCTTCCTGCCGCGAACGACGGGGACAGCAAGCAACTCCTCGTATACACCGGCATAGAACTCGAGGATTTGGAGCACCTCCTCACCAGCGAGTGCCTCGGTAAGGTGGGCAGTGTGGCCCTCCTGCCAGAGGAACTCTCTCGCCCTGAGGAAAGGAGTTGTCTGCTTGGCTTCCCAGCGCACAACCGAGTTCCATTGGTTTAGTCGCAGGGGGAGGTCGCGGTGGCTTCTGATCCATTTGGAGTAGTCTGGTTTTGTGGAGCGTTAGTGACTGTTGCAAAACATACCGAGTCTCTTGGCGGGGACCGTGACTTACAGGGATACATGACAGCCTCAGACGTTGGGCGAACCGCCACAGGGACCTCGAGGTCCTTGTCTCCCCTGAAGATTGTTAGTCTGTAGAAGTGCCATTTAGTGTACTGTTTGCCCCCGACTTACGCCTTTGTGACCCAGGCCAGCTCGGGCGCAAAGCCTTCGACGTGGTCCTTCTCCTTCTCCAGGGACTTTGACGATAGAAACATGGGGAAGTTGGTCTCCTCGACCCCCAATGTTTCGATCTTCTCCTGGAACCACTTGCGGATGACGTTCCAGATGTGCATGGTGGCGGGGCGCATGATGAAAAAGCCCGAGATCTCGGTGTAGTACTCGATCAGCTCAGCCTTGAGGACGACCTCCTGGTACCATTGCGAGAAGTTTTCTGTCTTGGACACGGTGATGCCGATGATGTCGTCTGCCTTCTTACCGCCGACCACAGGGAGCGATGCCTGCTTCGCAGCCTTGTTAGCCTTTGCGGCAGCCATCTTGGCCGTCTTCTCGGCCTTCTTGAGCGCGCTCTTGGACGTTTCCTTTGCTTCCTCCATTGCTGCTGCGGGTCCGGAGATGTTTGGCAGAAAGTGGAAAAAAAGATCTAGGGGCCCAGGATTGGCGTTGGCGGAATTGGCAAATTTATGCCCAACACTTAAGACGAACTGTAGTTGTGGTGGTGGTGCAGCACTGAGTCTATGCCGACTTGAGTCACAGCGAGAAGAGACGGCCGCTGTTTTTGTGCCCC